AAGGACTATGAAATAGAGATATTAGTAAATGGATAAATTCTTAAAACAGAAAACAGAAGGCAATAAAAATAATACACTAATCTCAAAGGATACAAGTAGAAAGTCCATGTATATAATTCAACATTAAAAATATAACTAGTGGTCCAGAAAACAACAAATTTTGTGTCTTCTCTTCTATAGTAGCTATCTCCTTCAAACAACTATTTATCCCATATATATATTTATATAAGTAATGCTGCTTAAGACATATGATGATTTCAAACAGCAATTCTCAAAATTTATACAGTGGCACTTTCAAAAGGCCAATGGTTCCAGTGAATCACATGCTAACTTCTTAGATTTACTGGTCAGAATAAAAACAATATCCTCTGAAATCTCAAATACTAAGAATAATACTGGTCTTGGTGAGGCATCATTGTGAAGCATCAACGAGTGACTGACTCCTGTATGTTAAATATTAAAAGTAAGTTATTTGGGTCAAAATCCTAAGTGTAGATTTCATTATCCAGAGATCCAGATTAGCTAGATAAATCCTGTGGAATGTCAGTCATGTATAAGGACAATTCAGTAGAATTGTTTTTGGTTTGTTTGCTCTCTCAGATTATCATTGCACTGATCTGGCATACAAAATGTTGGTCTAGGTTTGAAGACTGGTGATGATATCAACTCTAACTTGGATCAAGCTGGTTTTAATTTAATTTACATTCTAATCAAGCAACAAGCATGGCCACAGTTACACGGCAGTTAAGAATATAAATATAAGTGAGCATTACAGCTTCCCACCATCTCCCTCATTTGTTGGGGAGATGAACCTCAACTTCAGAGGCCAACGCAGTCTATGAAGAGAGAACAACTCTCCAAGTCAAAAGAATGCTGAGCCACAGGCCCACACCGCAAGAGGAGATGCCAGCACTCAAGAGTCCACTGAGGACAGTAGAAGATATACAGCAGAGACTCTCCGTCGCTAGTATCAGAATTAATTAGAAGGCTTGTTAAGGCACAGAGTATCATACACTCATACCCAGTTTCTGATTTAGTAGACCTCAGGGAGGGTCCCGGAATATCATTTTCACAAGTTCCCAAGTAGTGCTGCTGATATTGCTGGTGCAGGGACTACCTGTTGAAAACCACAGAAGAAGATATTTTTATGTTTTGCTTTCTAACTTAGATATTAAGTCAATAACATGAATGTGGCTTACCAGAAACTGTCTAGTGTTAAATATGTACATTATGAAAAATGACATTAGGTTGAAATTGTTCCCATCAGAATTAAGCACTTATCTAGCTAATTCAGACACAAGCCTTCTCCTCTCTCAATTATAGAAGCAGAGTCAAGTGGTTTAATAAGCAGAATTTAGAAATGTTATTGGGCATGACAGTTTTTTTGGACTATAAATAGCAGGCTCTTACAGTTTTTATTTATGAATATTGATTTGCATCAGAAACTTGAGAAGGTCAACCAACTTGTCACTGAATCCATTATTACAGTGAATATAGATGAATGTACTTAAAGAGGCAGCAGTAAGCAGTTTAAGGTTCTCTTTGTTAACCAAAACAGGGCCAGGTTTCCTCATCTACATTTATTATGGTGGTGATGAAGCCCTAATTTAATAAGGGAAGTGAGATAATTTTTTAGCCCTAATGTTAATAATAATTAGCAAAAATATCCTTGTGAAAATTATTTGTCTAAATACTTTAAGTAAGAAAATTTGGCTGTGGGAAAACCATAATTAAGGTTGGGCTTTTCCTGAAGAGGATTAAAACTTAAAATATAAATTTAAACTATTTTTGAAAATTTTAAAAGCTATCTTGAAAGTATATTTCAGTGAGCAAGAATTTAAAAGCCTCAACATATTTCTACAGGATCTAAATTATGCAGATTCAAATAGCATTTAAGAGTTCTCAAAAGTGTTTCTTAAATTCATTTTTAATTAAAATGTTAAGTAATTGTGCATAATATGCCGTTGAGTTTTTCTTGGTATAAATTAGGAATTCAGCAATTCCTTGAGATTTCCAATTAAAATATCAACAGCAGTTGAGATTATAGAGGTATTCCAAAGAATTTGCTAAGAAACAGCCATCCCTTAGTTATCAAAATTAATTATTTCAAAAGGCAAACATTTAAGAAAATATGAGAAATTGGTTTAAACAGATTCCTAATTCGATCTGCTTCTTGAAAAATTTCAGAAATCTTCAAATAATTTTGAACCCTTTGATTTTTCTTCTTTTTTTTTTGATGTAGAGTCTGGCTCTGTCACCCAAACTGGGTGCAATGGCGTAATGTTGGCTCACTGCATCCTCTACCTTCTGGGCTGGCTTAAGCCATCCTACCACCTCAGCCTCCCAAGTAGCAGGGACTACAGGCATGCATTACCACACTCAGGTAATGTTTGAATGTTTTGTAGAGATGGGGTTTCACCATGTTGCTCTGGCTGGTCTTGAACTCCTGAAGTCAAGCAATCCACCTGCCTCCACCTCCCAGAGTGCTGGGATTTACAGGTGTAAGCCATTGCTGTGCCCAGCCTCTTTTGAACTCATGTAAGTTCCAAAGCCTGTTCCTCAAATTTTCCCCCAAAATCCAATGAAATTCCATAGAATGAACATATGTGTTTTCCTAAAATGTAAAAGAAAAAATACAGAAATAATCCCACTTAGCTTGCCTGTGACAACCAGAAAATACATGAGAAATGAATTCTGTTTTGACTAAGACAATTCCTGTAATGGGAACTATGAGTAAAACAGTGGTTTTTCTATTTTTTCCCAGTTTGGTGAAGTGAGAGCTATTTGGTATATGGAACAATGATGATTTATTTAATATTCTATTTGTTTATGAAACAAATATTTAATGGATGTGTACTATATATCTAGCACTGTCTAAAGCTGGGGATAAAGTATTCAGAGAGATAGTCATGATCCCTGCCTTCATGGAACATATATTGTAGGGGGTGGGGACTACAGCAATAAACAAATATAAAACAAATAAATTGATAATGACAATTATAACAAATGCTATGATGGAAATAATACAGTGGTTGCCATAGATAAAAATGAAGGGAGGCAGTAATTTAGAGAAATCATTTAAAAAATGTTGCCTTGGAAAGGTTGCATTTAATGCAAAGAAAATGAGATGCTCACGGGCAGAGGATGAATAAAAAATAGGTCATTAGTCTGTACTGAACCTAGTTAAGGTGGGGTCGTTAACCTAAGGTTTCTCTCTGAAGCTCTGAGTTAACTCAGGGTTAACCCCTAGATTCCTCTGCTTTACTGGGGTTTCATGTACAGCTAGCAGGATTAGGAGCTCAAGGTTTTACTAATACATACATTTTCCACCTAAGTCACCTTAGGTTTGAACAGTTTTTTAAAAACGTATGCTGATAGAACAGGAATCCTATTGTCTTCTGACTACTGCCCCTGCCTCCATATCACAAGAGAATGAAATCATAGGAATGCAGCCGATATTAGACCTTTCTGAAGTTCTGCTTCTAGTTCTTTAACACAAGCATAGCTCCCATTAATTATGTTGTTTCCCATCCTTTCCTACTAGAAGGCACTCTTTGTTTTCTCAGGGGAATAGAGGCTGGATTTATTTTGATAAATTATTTTTTAAAATTTTGGCTAGGCACTGTGGCTCACATCTGTAACCCCAACATTTTGGCAGGCTAAGGTAGTTAGATCACTTGAGGCTAGGAGTTTGAGACCAGCCTGGGCAATGTTGTGAGACCCCATCTCTGCTAAAAGTAAAAATAGATTTAAAAAAATTAGCTGGTTGTCCTGTGTACCTGTGGTTTTAGCTACTCCAGAGGCTGAGATGAAAAATCATTTAAACTCAGGAGGTTGAGGCTGCATGAGCCATAATTGTGCCACTGCACTCCAGCCTACCTGACAGAGCAAAACCTTGTCTCAAAAAAAAAAGTAACATTGTTACACATTGCAAAAACAAAACAACAACAACAAAAAACAAAAAGTCATAACAAAGGGTATAATTGTTAAACTCCTCCTTACCACTCACTAGAGATAATTATTAATAATAAATTTGTATTCTTCTTTCAGATATATTTAAAATGATCCAATAGTCCATAGATTTTTTTTTTGGATAAACACAGAAATTGAGTCTTCTCAAGTTTTACAAAAAAGATACTTGCACACGCATGTTTATAGTATCACAATTCACAATTGCAGAATTGTGGAACCAACCCAAATCTCTGTCAATCAATGACTGATAAAGAAACTCTAATATACATATAAGATGAATACTACTCAGTCATAAAAAGGAATGAATGGCATTTGCAGCACCCTGGATAAGATTGGAGATTATTATTCTAAATGAAGTTACTCAGGAATGGAAAACCAAACATCATATGTTCTCATTGATATGTGGGCGCTAAGCCAAAAGGATGCAAAGGCATAAGGATACAAATTGACTTTGGGACTTGAGGGAAAGGGTGTGAGGGGGCAAGGAATAAAAGACTACAAATGGGGTACACTGTATACTCCTCAGGTGATGGGTACACCAAAATCTCACAAATCACCACTGAAGAACTTAACTTATGTAACTAAATACCACCTGTACCCCAATAACTTATAGAAACATTAAAATTAAATAATTTAAAAAAATGGAATCTTTTCAGCCTAAAGTTTCAAACTTACATTTGTTTTATCTGAGTTCCTTCCTCATGAAAGGACTCCCAGGCCTCTCAAAAAATATCAAAGAACGTAAACTCAGCAGATCACTGCATCCAGACAATGAGAGCCAGGCTCCTCATTTTACCTCCTTACCCCTATCTACTTCCTCTTTTTCCACACAATATTGCATTTCTTCCCTGCTATATAAACCCTTAATTTTAGTTAATTAGGGAGATGGACTCGGGACCAAACTCTCATCTCCTTGACTGAAGGACCCGATTAAAGCCTTCTTCCCTGGCAGTACTCATCTCAGTGATAGCTTCACTCTATTGGTAAGCAGCAGGACCTAGACTAAACCCCTGGTGTTTTGGTAACAGATTTTGGTTCCCTGACTGAGAATGAATGCATTGCTAGTGGATCTGCTACCAAGGGCCAGGAGTCTCAGAGTTCCTCACAAGCAGCTGCCAGCCCAATTTTGTCTGGAGGTGTGTTTCCTTCTCTCTGGCCCTACCACTGCCAGCCCCAACCATGTTCCTGATTGCCTCGGAAGAACAATCTTTGCATTTGACATCTGCATCCAGATAGGTAAGTGTCCTTTGTGGGCCGAGAGAGCAGAATCTGATCCTCTCAATTTGGAAAATTTGTAAAGGAATTTACATTTGCAGGTTGAAAAAGCCCAATTGACTGAGATTAGGAAGTACATGCGTGTTTCAGTTTGTACACTCTTGGGGCTCATTTGCTGCTGCAGCACTTGGATTACGTTTTGGTTATTGTGTGTGTGTCATGGGAAATTAGAATTAGAAAGCTTATAACCTTTTGTAATCCAGTTTGGAATCTGGAGTTTGCTGTGGCATAGGAAAGTATGATGAAGTTTCGTGTATTCAGGCTTTTATGCTGCTGTTCTAAGCAGAGTTGGGCCTAGTTAGTCTGTGATGTTCTTCTGTGGTGGTGTTTGACCCCAGTGTGTTTTGGAGGTTGGGGAGGTTTGGCCTTTAAAAATCAAGCTGCCATGAAAATAGCTTTGTCTGACATTTTGGATCATAGCCTTCACTGGATTACCTATTGGGGCAAACAGAGTGTAGTCATGTAAACCAGTGAGTTTCCATTGCTATCTCATAGCTAGAGTTCTAAGATAAAAGCTATTGGATCTGTGTTTATGTGTATGCATATGTGTGTTGATGTATATACATTTATATATTATATATTTTGTCTGCCAAACTGGCTTATAAATAAAAGACCATTCATAAATTAAGAAAGTCTAAAGTATTTTTCAAGTTCACATAACTTAAATATGAACATTTAATGAACAATCTGGCTTTAAAATTATTAATAAAATAAAAATAGAAATGTCTTTGGGATTGCAAGTGTACATTTTTATCTGGGTTTTATATTTGTCTCTGCTAGATACGTTGAGGTGTCAGGGTTTGCCATAGAAGATTTAAAGACTATAAACCCAGCTAAAATAAAACGATATTGGTTTGTGTACCTTCTTTAACAAACAAGACTAATTTAATGTGAGGTAAATTATCTGTGTTATTGGCAAAAATACCTATCTGTTTAACTTTAAGGTTCTTACTTGCATGAGCACTTGCTGTTCACTGGCTATAAATTTTTCTAACGTAATCTGGATAAACTCAGAAATGAAAGAATTGAGTACATGTAAATGGAATAAATTTTGCAGGTGAAAATTTGGTGTAATTTAAAATCTTAAAATAGTTTTTATGCTCATTGGATGTCTGGGCTATTTCCAATTATGAAAAAGTTATATGGAGAAACATATTTCTAAAAACTGTGGAGTAAGTCTCATCTATAAAATGCCAGCATCTGATAGACAGCTCAGGAGTTCATGCTTCCTAGGTTTTCACTAAAATTTAAGGAAAAGGATTATAGTTAATATATAATTCTGAATATAAAATATGCCAAAGTAGATACATTCTTAGTGAGAAAAAGAAAAATTTTGTCTAATTCGGAATTTATCTTAAGATTAATTCAAAACATGGACTTGAAAAGGTTGTTTATGAAACAAGATAGAAAGAAACCAGTAAATAGGAGAGAGTAAACCAGTAAATATGAAAAAAAATTATGGATATAAAGATGTATTTTTTGGTAAGAAAAGTTACAAAGAAACAAGAATACTTTTGTGTGAAACAGGATCTTGTGTGGTAAATATTTGCTCTAAAGTAAAATAACTGCTTATTGTTTTTTAAAAAAAAGGAGAATGAAAATTTAGGACAGAACAGAAAGTCCAAACAATTCATAGATGGTCTGTGTAAGTCATTGTCCGTTTTTTTGTTTTTCTCTGTGCCAGTCTTCATTTACATACAGAGAAAATAGAAACTTGAAAAAGTTTAAAGAGTAAAATAGTCTTTAAAACCTAATAAAAAATTAGAGAATTTGGCTAATTAACATTGCTCATAGTTAAGGCTCTTAATCTTGATGAAGGTAAGGTAAGAAATATTGTTAAAAAAATGCATTGGCAGTTTAGCAGTTCTTTTTTAATATAGCTAAGCATGTAGCCAGGTTTAGCATGAAGCTAAATTTCATATAAATGCTTGCACTGCTTCACATTGTCTTTGCTGTTCTATGTAAATAATACTAGCACTAAAGAACTTATCAGTCACTTGCCTAAAGAGAATTTTTTGATTGCACAAAACATACAGAGGTATTGGTGGACTTAAAGAAATTAATTTGTATACCAGGAAGAACATGTCCATCATGTGCTTTTTTTAAGGCTCTGGATAACATTGTACACCTCTAATTTAGAGACCTATTAAAAGCGTGAAGGTTCCTGGCAAAAAAGAAAAAAAATAATAAATAAATAAATAAATGACTTATTTTTCTAAGTTCTGAGGCAAAATAATATATTACTTACCTTGTTACTTGGAAAAGTAGATGTGAGTAGAAATGCTTAAGTGGTGTTTATATCCAAAGTAATTTAGTTAATTTACTAATTTGAGTTGGTCTCCGATCTTTTCTTACAATGAGAATAAACTGTGATATGTATACAAAATTTTAGTGTTTAGGGAAGACTGGCTTTTTCCTTAAGGAAATAATTTTGACTGGGATTTCTCTCATACTACTTTAGTTGTGTTTACCATTATTAGCATTAAGGGACATTCACCTGGTTTAAGTATTAATAATAAACACTTTTACAAATTAAAATAGTGGAACTTTTTAATGGTTCTTTTTTTAAATCAAATAATTTATCACTGATGGGCCTTCATGTGAGTACTTGAAAACAAAATATGTACAAGTGTTGCACTGGATTGAAGATTTCAGTGGTGAAAGTTACCTAATAAATTATCAGTGCTGTATCTGTAAACCAGTCTCAGAAATATTTGATGACACTCTTTTAAATAGCTGAAAAGAAATTATTGTGAAGTTGTCCTTACTTTGTCCTAGTTTTGTAGTATAGAATTTAAGTGAAATATTATTTATTTCATACTGAGTTTCCAGAACTGAAATTTGCATTTACCATTTTTTTTACTGATGGAGAGAAAGTTTAGTTGTCTTACTTTGATAAGTTTGGCACAGGACTTAGGACATTTGTGATGTTTTTGGTCACAGTCCTATCACTGGAAGGCTAGCAATTAGACATATGCAGTGAGTAACCTAACTACTTTAATACAGTGGATTGAAGTGTTGCAGGCAGTAACTACTAGACTCCAAATCAGTGTTTTAATATGTGACATGTTAGAGAAAATGATAGGAATTTCTGTAGTATAAATAACTAATCCTTGTGCTGTTAAGTTACAGAGCTTTGACTCCTGGTTCTGAAAAGGGCACTGACCCCTGCTAAATCTTGAACTTTGACCCCTATGCAAAACCTTGTCTTCAGACCTGGGAGAAGGTGACAAAATGAACTGCTATTGTGAGACACAGGGTTGAAAATTAAAACTCTTCAACCTCCTCCTCAGAGACTATTGTGGAAGAGGAGGGTGTGTGAGATTTTAAGAACTGATTTTGAGAGGGAAGCTTAGTTGAGTTTTTCTATAAATTAAACATGGATATCAAAAGCACTCTGATGAAAGGCCAGCATCTGAGTCCATGGGTTAGAATTACAGGGTTTTCTTGTAGCATTTATTTACTCTTTAATGGAACATTGTAAAAGGTTATAAAAGGTTTGTAGAAATCTTAACTTATGGTCCAACTGATTAAAATTAGATTTGTTTATAAGGTTTTATTAAAACTAGCTTTAATATTAATAATATATTATACAAAGATAGAATGCAATTTGGTTTTCTGTTTGAGCAAAATTTTCATGCAAGAGAGAATAAGAGATTTTGTTTACTTTTTGTGGAAAGCTACAGAAGAAAACAAAGAGGGAGTTTGAGAGACAGATTTCATTGAACTCATGTTGTCTTTATTAATTCTTGTTTGGGAAACTGTGTCTCCTCTCTATCAATAAGTAAATGATTTTTTTGTTTCATCATTTTGGCTAAATCAATGCTATTTTATAGTAATTTATGATTCTATTGCGTGATACCAAGTGTCCCAAACCTTTCATATTTGACAGACTTTCCAATAGTAAAATTTCAAGTTCTAAATTCAGTCTTTTGACTTCAAACTAACATGTTTTTGGATATTGGGTCTCTTAAAGTCCAAGAGAAACATATTAGGCTTATTTGATATGTTAGAATTATATAGGAAGCACTATCAATTGTGAGGTGGTATTTAACTTTCTTTCGGTTATATTTATATAGATATGTTGTTAATATGCATTCCAGGATTGTATGAGATTCCTGACATTCTAATGTCTGAATATATGTTGTCAGTACTGATTATTATTATTTAAATTGTTGCATGCCAACAGAAATAGCCAAATTTCCTTGTCAACTGCATCTTTAATTATGGCTATCCTAATACTTTTGTCATCCACAATTGTTGTTTTGCATTGATTCTTCTCAAAAAGTGACTTACAATCAGCCACAGTCCAGGGCTTGTTTCTTTGGAGGAGTTTATGAAAAGGACTCTTGAATGCGGGTTTCTGGTAAATTTGGAGATTGTGCCACTGTATTATGGAGAAAACTACCAGGCTTTTAATTAAAAAGCTGATGTGTTTGTAGAGATTGCTAACCCAATATAAAGCAAAGCTAGAGTTGATTGCATTGAGCAGACTAATAAAGGAATGAAATATTTTTTTATTTCTTTTTTGGTTTGAAATGTTGCTGGTTCTTTTTGTTTCTTAGAGTCTGGAGAATTTTTTTCTTTAGACCTATTTATAAACTTTAAGTGCACTTGAAGTCTATTGAGTAGACTATACTTTTGTAAACAGAATTTGAAGCTTATTTCTCTCTGCTTAATTTCACCTCAATTTTAAAACTACTTGTGAATATTCTTAATTCATAGGAATGTGTTTGTTTGCATATGGCTAATAAGAACCTGTTTCTTTTATAATGTGACCTCTTTGGAAGCGTTAGTTATTTCTTCAAATCTTTAACTGAAATGGCCTTGTAAGAGGTTCCAGCAAAGCCAAGTAGCAAAGCCTAGGTGGTGTATGGGTAATCAGGCCAACTATATTGGACTGATGCTTATTTTGCAGATAGGTTGGTTCTACTGTGATTTGTCTTTGATGGAAGAGGGAA